GAAGTCAATTTTTCTAGGCTTTTTAGATGCAAAGTTACTAATAATTTTCTTATAATCAATTTCTCCTAATAAGTCTTTCTCAATTGACAATATAACTAACACATTTAATCTCTCTTGAGACATTGTTGATCTTAGGTAAGATTTTATCAATTTTGATTTTGAAAAGTTTCTTTCCGCTGAAGTAACGGTAACTGGAATTGTTAACATTATTCTATAAGCAATATAGGCATTTGGAAAAGAATCAAGTCTCTTTATTTGATTGAGTATATCGATTAAACTATTATCTTCTACTTGTACTATTTTCCTTAATACTTTCAACTCAGAAAATAAATCTAAACCATCAATATCAGATTGATTATTATGCTTTAAGAAAAATTCAAGATTAAGGCAATGTGTTTTTATATTTCCATCATTTAGTGATCTTAATTTTTTACCACTAAATTGAAAACCAAAAATATTTTCATATGCTTCAAATTGTTCAAATCTATTTTAAAGTGAAAAAATAGCCTTGTCTACTATGTATAAAAAGTAATCAACTCTAAAGAACTCTTCAAGAGACTTTGAGATTTCATTATCAACATTCTCATCAAATTTTTTCTTCCTAGATATCACACGTTTCTTACGAAATTCGGGTTCGATATTCATTTCAAATGCAATTTCCTTGGCAGAAATCATAGCAGTTACAAATCCTTCTTCTCTATATTTGTTAAAAAAAGAAATCAAACCTTTTAATTAATCTATGGCAACATCAATATACATGTCTTTTGACTGCATACTTTTGCTAACTGAATTAACGACAAATAATATATCATACCAAATAGTCATACCCAATAAAAATTTAAAATTTTCGAGTTCATTTGTTACTAAGGAATTAGCTTCACTTTTAGTTTTTGGATCATCACTAATTTATACTAATTTCAATAAAGCATCTCTTATTTGTGGAGTTTGAAATCTTATTGCTTTAATACTTTCAATACGACTTTCCCAACGAGTTTGTGACAATGATTTAAGAGTTAGACTAGGTACACTATCCTTTAATACTTTCCATCGCTTAGTAGAAGATGAAAATGGTGAATATATACGTTGTACCACTCTAAAAAATGATATAGCTTTTGTACAAGAATTAGTCATATCACAAAGTAACAAAAAATGAATTCTTCTTCTTTTCTTGAGTTTTTCATAATCAGATTCACACTTTCTATTTGACATACTTATTTTCTAATAAGTAATAAATAATCTAAAAATGCACTAAATAGGAAAATATTAAGTTTTAAATGAGAAAATAATAAAAAGATAGAATAAATAGCAAAATATTAAATTTTAGATGAGAAAATAATAAAAAGATAGAATAAATAGCAAAATATTAAATTTTAGATGAGAAAATAATAAAAAGATAGAATGATAGAACCTGGTTCAAGAACGGATAGTTTGATATGAAATTAAATTTTCTATTCGAGTATGCTTGTTGTAAGACTTGAATTATGAAAATAGAACAAACAAAAACACTTCACTATTTCTTGAATCAATATACTGAACTCTAAAGTCTGAAGATCCACAATAAAGCTTTGATCTTTGGCTATTGAAGAATGAAGTGTGATTAATTGAAGAACAAAATATAAAAATATAATATAGTGGTATAGTGTTCTTCACTTTGCTCGACAAAGCCAGTTAGTCACGTTGTCCTCACTTCGNATTTATAAGCTACATCTTTAAAAGTCTGTGTTCTATGAACTCAAAAATAAGAGCATCTATTAACCACCTAGAACATATACTTTTGTAGAGCTGTTTAGAAGTTGTGACAAAAATTCCGTACTTCAAAATTATACCCCTTAGATGTTAAAGAGAGGATTCCTCTCCATCTTGTTATAGATTCATCACCGTATTACACATACTACAATGACATGCACTCGCATCCAAATTTTATTGAATTGGGCATGTCCATCTCACATATAGCATTTGAGAAGGTTCGATTGAAGTCAAAAACTTTTTGGTTCTTAACGTACAAGGCAGGGGTCAATACCTAATCCCGCCACCACGATGGCTTTATTTGAAACTTAATAACAAGATGAGATACTTGATAATGCTCAAGCATAATACCAAAGGTAAATCTATGATTTAAAGTAAGTGGATGCGAAATACCACTGCATCCACTGCTATTTTGTTGTGTTAGTGTATACTTAAGTATTAGTTTTAAATTCTTTTTCAATTATATACTATTTCGCACTCACTACCCAAATACTACAACTTCCCTGCACCATAGCGGCCAATTAAATAGAGATGGTTGATCTATATTAGACAATAAACAAGATAAAACAGCGGACAACAAGGTAAATACTAGTCATTAACATTTGCTTTTTGTTTGGGCCTTTATTGGAAAATAGATGAAGGCTTAAGAGATTTCCTTCCGTAAGAGATAATAAGTCTAATTAATTAGACTCAACTTCTCTCACCTCTATTTACTATAAAGTTTAACTTCTATAAATTGAGAGCATAAAAACTGTTTTACACTATCAAGTTATCTAATAGATTTCCTGGGAATGTAACATGGAAAATAAGGCAGTCTCTTACAATTCAAAAGGTCAAAGTGCACTAATAGTATAAGAATATTTCTCTGTTATAGTATATAAACAAAATCCTTTTTGGATTCCTCGTTTATGGATTACTAAAGAACTTGGTTCATTACCTTACTTCCTTACGCGTAAAGTAAAATAAGCAGTAAAGTAAACACAATAATATTTACGTAAAAATCACCCGCCTCAAAAGGTACAAAAACCACGACCTACCACGTAGGAATTTTAACTTCAACTTCACTAGAACAATGAGCCAAATGTATCGATTATAAATCTGTAACTCAGTACTCCCCAGTTCTTCTACTTCAACTATTTAATTTACAAGTTATTCTAACTTGCAAAACCAAACACTCACTCCAACTTACTGATTTTATATGACACTTTGATTACAACCTGATTTCCTAACACACATTTACTAGACTGACTCAAGAAGAACATAACACTAGTACTCGACTTAAGTGTAGAAAATGTAGTTCTTCATTTGATGTGTAAAAGGATAATCTCAGCAATCCAAAAAGATAGTATTTAAATTTCTTGGACTCTGAGATCTTTTAGGAGTCCTATGCGTAGTCAACTTCTCATTTGATAGGACTCCTACTGCTCCAAGGACTCCACAAGTCTTGGGACTCTTGTCTCTTACTTATGCACGCGTATCTTCTTGGGTAACAACCCTATCATGTTTAACAGTCTTCTTCCAACAAATTTAGACCTGGGTAACTTTGAGATAAGGTTACTGTTGGCAAGACCTACAATCATCAACCTTGAGGAGCTGGTTTTTAACCCTGAGGAGTTGGTTCTTAGAGTAGTTAAGCAGCTACGTGGAGGACCTGGTTCTTAGAGAACAAACTTTGTTAATCATCAAAATCTCAATACTCAACAAATTATCCCTTTTTGATGATGACAAACTTTGTGCATATTAGAACCAGGTAATCACCTCATATTATCATATCACCATACTATGACCAGAATAGGTACAACCTCTATACAACAAGCACACAGACAGGCACATCAACACCAACACCAACACTCCCAACTCTATCTTCTCCATTTTGGCATCATCTAAAAAATAACAAAAAGATGTTAGACATACTAAGCACAGTAAATGAAAGATTTATGGCCACTTAGGCTACATCACAAGCTTAAGAATTATCAAAGAAAAATAACTAAGCTGATAATATAACCATGTGCGAAGCATTAAAACATTATAAGAGAAGTCATTTAGTATTGCCAAAATAAGCCTAGGGCCTTGACTCAAAACATTAGAGCAAAATAAGCTAAAACTCTTGCAACCTACTCAGAACTAGAACAAAGGAAACAAGAACTAAAACATCACTGGGATAACATAATAAGCTAAAGATACTGGGAGACGGACCGGGTTCATGGGTGAGAGGAAGATGGGGTCAATGATTTCACAAGGGTGGCAATCTGTTGGGCATGAGCTTCCCTATCCCTTCTGAGCTCCTCGCTAAGCTGCCTGGTTTCTTTTATTAACTCATCATTGTCTTCTCTAAGTTTGTCATTCTCCTCAAGAGCTAACTCCAACCTCTTAGTGAGCTCCGCTGCCCTACTACTACTAGGTAGAATAGCAAAACAAGTTAGTCCCCTAGCCTTGATCTCCTCATAGCCACACTGCTTGAGGGTAACAACATCCAAAACATTATTGTGGTTTCCAAACTTAAGCTCAGGTAAGGTAATATTGAGCTTGTCAAATAGCTCAGCTAACATGAAGCCATAAGGCATAACATGCTTAGTCTTGGAAGTGTCTGCAGTCCTTGCCATGTGCTGAATCATCAAGCTAGGGAGATTGATAGCTCTACCGGTGTTAAGCAGTTCCATCACAGCCATGTCCAATAGATTAGCCTCGTGCCTTCTCTCAGATCTCTGCAAAATGCAGGAGTTCACAAACTAAAATAACAACTTGTGAAAGGGAGTCATATCAGTCTTATACACCTTCTGGGGAGCAACCAATTCAAATTTATTGGAGAACTTCCTTGTGACTACAATTCCTGAGTCCACATCATTGTCTATGGCTGCCCATTTTTTCTTCAAGTAATTATCAAAATCTAAGGAGGGAATATTCAGAAGCATCCCAAGCTTTTCAGCATCAAACTCCATCTCAAACCCCCTTACATTACTCTTGACCACTTTCCCATAAAATTGGAAGTTTGCATAGAACTCCACCACAGCAGGGACACACAGAGGAGGAAAAGCCTTGACAAACATATGTCTCCATCCCTGTAGCTCAAGTTTATCAACTAACTGAGCCATCCCTTTCTCATCAGTGTTTGCAAAACTTTTCCCATTCAGCACTTTTGTGTTCCTGAACTCAGTGAGCTTATCAACCATACCAGGCATACCCTTCCTTTCTTTTCCTTTACCGGCCCTTTTTAATGGGGTAGCTGCCTTGGTAGATTTGACAACCTTTCTCTTTTATGCTGATGTCTTTTCTTGCAAAGTAGAATCAGACTCATCTTCTACATCCAACTCAATAACAGGTTCAATAACTGGAACTTGCTTTCCTGGCTTCTTGGAACCTCTGGACTCCTTAATGATTTGTTCATCAACAACCTTTCTTTTACTCCTTGTGAAAGGAGTCCTAACATGAAAAGCCACTTCTTTTCTTACAGGGATAACTGACTTTGTTGCTTTCATTGAAGCCTTCTTGCGTTTCTTCCCTACTACAGACATGGGTAAATTATCCTCATTTCTTATGACCTCTTCATCTCCAGTGAAAGGAGTTAACAAGGGCTCAGTTTCTTCAGTACTTTTCTCTCCACTTACTTCTTTTGAAGGGGCTATGACAGTGTTCCCAATAGCCATAGATCCTTCAGATTCCCCACTTGCATTCTCATTCTCTTCCTCACTCTCTTCATCCTCACCTTCACTCTCACTTACCTTTTCTTCATCCTCGCCTTCGCTCTCATAATCAACTTCTTCCTCACTATATTTTTCTTCTTCTCCATAATTACCCACTAATTCATCTAACTTATCTTCTGCCTCACTCTCCTTCTCATCACCAGATTCCCCCTTGTTCTCACCCCTTTTCTCATCAGTATCATTAGCCATGTCCTGAGACTAATGCTCCTCATGACTAGCCACCAATCCTCCTTCTTCCTCACCTTCATTATCATCATCATCCTCAGTCCAGCTGAAAGAGAGACCATCAGAAGCCTCCTTATTTACTGGTTCTTTATCACCTTCTCTCTCAACCATAGGCATAACATTAGAGGTATCTACCCTTTTCTCCTGAGTTGCTATGTCCGTTTCTACAGTAGTTTCCTCCACTCGTGGTTTATCACTTGTGGGTGGAACAATATCTATGGGTGCAACATCAATGGTAGAAACCAGAATATCTAACTTTGATGGAGGTAATTTTACATGACTTGTAGTAGTTGACACTGATCCCCCATGAACCACAACTTCCTTAACTACTGTGTCTATCTTAGCATCATCATCAATCACCACCTTGTCACTTTTAATAGATTTTCTTGGAGTAGACTTTACTTAATGGACTTAGAGGTGTTTTTCGAAGTAGATACAGGTTTGGAAGTGAAGGTCCAGTAAAGGTGGGAATAGTGGGTGCAAGAGGAACATGGGACGATAGTACAGTACAATGGAGGATATAGGTAGAGAAGGAGTAGTTATAGATGCATGTTCAGTTGATGAATTTGCACTTCTCTTTGATTTGGGATTCATGTTCTTGGGTTTGCTTCAGTCTTGGATGATGATTTTGCTTTAAAAGGAGTTTGGCATGGTGATGAGAGAATTAAATCATTGAAGGGAACGAGAGAAGTATTTCTTGATTCTTGCTTAGGGTTTGAGAGGATCAGTAAGGTCTGAGAAACAGATCATAAGGGGGCTTTTAAAGAAGTAACTCCTGATTTGACTGGAAGAAAGAGAGTAACCGAATTTGAGTTCTAATACGGACTCTAATAACAATTACTTTTGACCATTAGAATATAAGGAGTAATTAAACTCTAATTGCTCTAGGATTCCACCTTAATCTTTGACTAGATAAAAACTAGGAGTGATGCTAACAGGATTAGAAAGTCTGAGTATAGCAGTAATTTCAGTTACTAAGCCCCTATGATTAAGACAATATGGCGCGTACCTGAGTCAAAGAACCAAATCCTTAGTAACTCCTCACTCATTTCTGCAATAAAGTTTCAGCACTATAGGTTAGTATCATAAGACATAGTTATCAACTAGACTTTTCGGGCCAAGTGTGTGTTCTCAAAACAAGCACGAGACTGAATCAAACAAATTGTACATGACCATCTACATCTAATTATACATTTTCTAGCCAATCATTGGGATCAACCTTTTTGGAAGTATTAATTAGACCAAGTTCCGGTCTATTCCTTTCAAAGTGATCCCTACTCAGAGCTTAGTAAAAATATCAGCAATTTGGTCTTCACTTTCACAGAAGTTAATTGAGATATTCCCTTTTTCAACGTTGTCTCTGAGAAAGCGATGCCTATGTCAATATGCATGGTTCTCTTGTGTTGGCAGAGATTTTTAGCAATGTTTATGGCACTAGTGTTGTCACAGAAAATAGGAACACAATCAACGAAAATACCATAGTGCCTTAGGTGTTGTCATATCCACAGCAACTGAGCACAACAAGATGCTACTGCGACATATTCACCTTCAGCTGTAGATAAAGCCACTGAGTTCTGCTTCTTTGTTCCTAATACACCAGGCAAGAACCAAGAAAATGTGTGTTCCTGAAGTATTTTTCCCGTCAACATGAAAATATGCATAGTCAGCATCAGCATAACCAACTAGATCAAAGCTATATCATCTAGGATACCATAGACACAAATCACGAGTCATTTTAAGTTATCTGAGTATCCTCTTGACAGACTTCAGATGAGAGTCTTTGGGATTTGCCTGAAATCTTACACACAATCCTACACTGAATACAATATCTAGCCTGCTTGTCGTATGATACAACAGTGACCCAACCATTCCTCTATATAGCTTCTGTTCAATACTTTTCCCTTCTTCATCAAGGTCCAGCTTTGTTACAATGGCAATGGGAGTGTCTATGCACTTAGAAGAGTCCATATTCAATTTCTTCAAAAGTTCCTTGATATATTTTTGCTGATGTATCATGGTTTCAGTAGGTGTTTGCTTGATTTGTAAACCGAAGAAGAAGTTCAATTCACCCATCATGCTCATTTCAAACTTATTCCCCATCATCTCAGTAAATTCCTTGCACATTGCTTCATTAGTAGCTCCAAAGATAATATCATCTACATATACTTGTACAATCAGAACATTTTTGCCTTTACTCCTCAGAAATAGTGTGTTGTCCACCTTTCCTCTTACAAAGTTATTGGTTAAGAGGAATTTTGAGAGTCTTTCATATCAAGCTCTTGAAGTAAGGCTTTGTCTAACTTTAACACATAGCTAGGAAATCCATCACTCTCAAACCGAGGAGGTTGTTTATCAAACACTTCCTCCTTCAGGTAGCCATTCAAGAATGTACTATTTACATCAATCTGATATAAGGTGAACTCCATGTCTGCAGCAAAAGCAATTAACATCCTTATAGCTTCCATTCTGGCTACATGTGCAAATGTCTCATCATAGAAAATGCCTTATTCTTGATTGTATCCGAGAACCACAAGTCTGGCCTTGTTCCTTGTGATATTTCCTTGTTCATCCAGCTTATTTCTAAACACCCATCTGGTACCTATGACAGTTCTGTTCTTGGGTCTTTGTACCAAGTCCCAGACCTTACTTCTTTCAAACTGATTTAGCTCCTCTTGCATGGCTATAATATAATCTGGATCCTTTAGATCTTCCTTTATATTCTTAGGTTCAACCTGTGAGAGGAATGTTATAAGTGCACATAGATTTCTCAGAGATGTCTTGGTTTGCACTCCAGCATTAGGATTAGAGATGATGTTCTCAACAGGGTGTGAAGTTTGATGTTTTCATGGTCTAATTTGCATCCCCAGAGATGGTTCACCTACGGAGTGATCCAAAGGTATAACTTCAGTAGGTACAACTTCATTAGTCTGGTTAGTAGTCAAAATAGTTCTCTTTTCTTATTGTTCCTCATGATCATTTTCAACTTCCTTAGGATCTCCTAATCCATCTTCAAATGTGTTTAAGGTTCTTTAGAAACTCCTTCATCAGTGAGTCCTATGTCATAGTCTTCATCCTGCAGACCTTTTTAGGCCATGTTTTTAGATTCATAAAAAATAGCATGAACATTTTCTTCTACGCACATAGTTATTTTATTAAAAACTTTGTAGGCTTTACTATGTGGTGAATAACCCAAGAAAATTCCCTTATCACTTCTGTCATCAAACTTAGCTAGAGCTTTTTTGCCATTATTGTGCACAAAACATTTGCACCCAAAAGCTCTCAAGTGAGTGATGTTGGGCTTTCTCCCTCGAAGTAACTCATAAGGAGTTTTCTCAAGAATGGGTTTGACCATGCATCTGTCTAGCAAGTAACAAGCAGTATTGACTGCCTTCGCCCAAAAGCTCTTAGGCAGTCCACTAGCAATCAACATGGTCCTCCCCATATCTTCTAGAGATCTATTCTTTCTTTCTACAATACTATTTTGTTGTGGAGTTCTAGGTGCAGAGAAGTTATGATCAATGCCATGTGTGTTACAGAACTCAAGGAATTTAGAATTTTCAAACTTAGTTCCATAGTCTATTCTTATACTTAAAACATTATAGTCCAGTTTCTGTTGGATCATTCTGACAAACACATAGAAAACATCAAAAGTTTAATCTTTAGATGCCAAAAACAGGGTCCATGTGTATCTCGAAAAGTCATCTACAATGACAAATATATACCTATTGCCTCCTCTGTTCCTCACTCTCATTGGTCCACATAGGTCCATATGAAGGAGTTCCAGGGGTTTGGAGGTGCTGACAACCTTTTTAGATTTAAAAGATGACCTTACATGTTTTCCTCTAACACAAGCATCACATACCTTGTCTGAGGTGAACTCAACTTTTGGTAGTTCAAGGACCAGGTCCTTTGCTGCCAATTTGTTGAATTGAGAAAGACTAGCATGACCCAATCTTCTGTGCCGTAACAATGGGTCATATTCCACTACACTTAAGCATGTGTTCTCACTCTGAGGAAGGGACATAATAGATATCTTGTAGACATTGTTATGTCTCTTACCTTTTAACACAATTTCATCAGTATCAAGCTTAGTGACCGTGCAAATTTTGGAATTAAATTTTACCTCATTTCCTTTATCACACATTTGAGAAATTCTAAGGAGATTATGTTTAAGGTTTATGACATAATACACATCTTCTATAGCATGAGAGAGTGACTTACCGACCTTACCAATACTTGTTATCTGGTCCTTTTTTCCATTTCCAAGAGACACACTCCCTCTTTGGAAAGCTGTCAGTGAGAGAAAGTTTTTCTTTTCTCCAGTCATATGTCTTGAGCAACCATTATCTAGATACTAATCTTGATTGTTCCCTCTTACTTTAGCCTACACCAAAAATCACAAGTTATTCTTGAAAACCCAGACAAGACTGGGTCCCTCTTTATTTGGAAAAGGATGAATCAAATATCTTCTTGGCAAACGAAGGGAAGATGATTAATAGATGTTTTCTTGTTAACCTTAATCCAGTTAGTTTGGACAAGAGGCTTGACTTTTGGTTCTTCTTCCTTCTTCACATTTTTAGCAAGACCAAAAGTATTCTTAAACTGAGCATGAATTAAGGCATGTCAAGTATCTCTAAAGTATTCTACCTTCCCACAATGAGTGCACATCTTGTTATAAGGAATTACTACATACTTTGGATCAAATTTGGGAACAGGTTTTCTATAGCTAATTCCTGATTTGTTAGTGCTGCAGTTTTTGTTCAGTCAATTTAATGCATCAGAGGATCTATGCCACTTGCTTAGCCTAGATCATTCAAAATTAGCTTTTTCTAGATTTTCTTGCAGTACTTTATTCCTACATTCAGCATCACAAAGATTATCTTTAACCCTTTTTAGTTCCTTTTCAAGCTTATCTTGCATATCACTCATTTTTCCTTTACCATGTGTATCAGGTGACTTCTCATTTTTAGAAGTGAACTTAAGAACCTGGTTCTTCAGGTCTTTGACCTGTCCTTCAAAATCAGCTTTGTCAGATTCAAGTTCTTTGAGGTCAAGTTTGACACATGAAAGGTTGCTTATTAACTGACAGTACTCATCTTGTCAATCTCACTCATCATGGTCATAATTATGACCATCAACTATTTTTTCGACATAGCATGAATGTTTTCTTTAAAGTTAGAGATACTTACCTGATTTGTTTCATCTTCAGTCTCTGAATCACTCATGGCCATCATCCCTATCACTTCTTCTTCTGTTTGGCTTTCTTCAATTGCCATCAGCGCCATTTCAATATTTTCATCTCCAAAATCAGCTTCCAAGATCCTCCATATATCATGAACAGAGTTGCAAGAAGATACCTTGTAGAGAATATTTCTAGGAAAACTTCTGTAGGGCAGGTCCTTTGCTTTAGTATTTTTCTGGATTACCTGACGATCTTTATCATCATAATCCTCTTCTCTCTTGTTACATTTGTTTCTTTCACCATCCATTTTGGTAGGGATGATTGGTCCATGACTGATAATTAGCCATAGATCAAATTCAGCGGCCTGAAGGAATGTTTCTATACACATCTTCCATTCATCATAGTGATGTCCATCAAATAGAGGAGGTCTTCCAATGTGCATTCTAAGTTGTACTGGAGATTCTGTCTCCACTGTTTGATGTGCATCAATTACAACATAGAGACTTATGGCCTCATCCTCCTTCTCTTCCTCTTCCTCTTTATCACTTTCACTGTCCTCATATGCTGCTAGAAAAGCCTGTTTTATTGCTTTAGTGAATCCTTCACCTAGGATTGTTCCTTTGTTTGGGCCCTTCTCTCTCAATTCTTTTTGTTTTTTCCTTTTCAGCTCGTTCTTTCTTCCACTCAATTTCCCACATTGGGCAGTCTTTGACCATATGGTATATCTTGTTACACTTGTAGCACCCATCATAAGTGGCTTTGTTGATCTGCTTAGGCTTATCATTGTTCTCTCTCTTAGATGCATTTTTGAAATTCTTCATGAACTTCTTGTACTTAGCAAACATTGCTAGGTCAGGATCATCACTGTCAGATTCATCTTCTTTAGATGCCTTAAGATCCATGGCCTTATCCCCCATTGGTTCTTCCTTGCGCAGTTCTATCTTTCTCATCTCTTGAGTCTTTAAGTTTCCAACCAACTCATCTAGTAAGATTTTATCCAGCTCCTTGGCTTCCTTAATAGCTGTGACTTTTGATTCCCATATGGCTGGAAGAATCCTTAAAACTTTGCTAACCAACTTTTCTGAGGTAAATAACTTACTAAGTGATTTCAGTTCATTGGTTATTATAGTAAACCTAGTCATCATCTCCTGGATGGGCTTAGACTCCTTCATAGAGAAGAGCTTATAGTTCCTCATAAGTAATTCTATCCTTGATCTTTTCACTTGGTTTATTCCTTCATGAGCGATTTGGAGTATATCCCAGATCTCCTTTGTATTAGAGCAAGCTGATATCCTGTTGTATTCATCAGGATTAAGTCCATAAATAAGGATTTTTCTAGCCTTTGCATTCTTCTCCATCATTCTGAAATCTGCTGCTACAATTCAGAAGGGTCCTTAGAAAAAGTTTCGTTTTACTAATTTTGTTTAGTAGGAGTTAGTGGACCTTGGTTCACTATGGTCCATAGTTCATAATCCTCAGCCGTCAGGAAATCTTTCATTCTTGCTTTTCACCAATTGTAGTATTTTCCATTAAGCATGGGTGATCTGGTAGTTGATTGTCCTTCGTTAGTTCCAGGTGAAGCACTCATTTTGCTTTCAAGATCTCTCTAGGTGTTAATCGTGCGTGAGAGAATTTGCTCTGATACCAGTTGTTAATTTGAGTGTCTTTATGGATTACTAAAGAACTTGGTTTGTTACCTTGCTCCTTATGCGTAAAGTAAAATAAGCAGTAAAGTAAACACAATAATTTTTACGTGAAAATTACCCGGCTCTAAAAGTGCAAAAACTACGACCTACCACATAGAATTTTTAACTTCAACTTCAATAGAATAATTAGCCAAATGTATCAATTACAAATCTGCAACTCTCTCCAGCTATCATACTTCAACTATTTGATTTACAAGTTACTCTAACTTGCAAAACCAAATACTCCTCCAACTCACTGATTGTATATGACACTTTGATTACAATTCGATTTTCTAAAATACATTTACTAGACTGACTCAAGAAGAATACAACATCGGTACTCGACTTAAGTAAAAAAGATAATCTCAGCTCAAAAAGATAGTATTTAAATTTCTTGGACTCCGAGATCTTTTAGGAGTCTAGTGCGTAGTCAGATTCTCGTTTGATAGGACTCCTACTTCTCCAAGGACTCCACAAGTCTTGGGGCTCGTCTCTCACTTATGCACGCATATTTTCTTGGGCAACAACCCTTATTATGTTTAGCAGTCCTCTTCCACCAAACTCGGACCTGGGTAACTTTGAGATAAGGTTACTGTCTTGCAAGACGTACAATCATCAACCTTGAAGAGCTGGTTCTTAGAGCAGTTAAGCAGCTATGTTGAGGATCTGGTTCTTAGAGAACAAACTTTGTTAATCATCAAAATCTCAATACTCAACACGAGGGAATTTGGAAACGGCAGCCACGTTAAATAAAACGAGATAAAAGAACACTAACACTAGCTCCTCTTGCATTTACAGCCGACAGGAATATTATATTGCCCAGAAATTGAACAGTTAATGATCCAATTGCTATTGTATAATTTTACTACTGCTTTGATACTAGTTGTTAATTTGAGTGCCTTTATAGATTACTAAAGAATTTGGTTTGTTACCTTGCTCCTTATGCGTAAAGTAGAATAAGCAGTAAAGTAAACACAATAATTTTTACGTGAAAATTACCCAACTCTAAAGGTGCAAAAACTACGACCTACCACATAGAATTTTTAACTTCAACTTCAATAGAACAATTAGCCAAATGTATCAATTACAAATCTGCAACTCTCTCTAGTTATTCTACTCTAACTATTTGATTTACAAGTTACTCTAACTTGCAAAATCAAACACTCCTCCAACTCACTGATTGTATATGACACTTTGATTACAACTCGATTTCCTAAAATACATTTACTAGACTGACTCAAGAAGAACACAACATCGGTACTCGACTTAAGTAAAAAAGATAATCTCAGCCCAAAAAGATAGTATTTAAATTTTTTGGACTCCGAGATCTTTTAGGAGTCTAATGCGTAGTCAGATTCTCGTTTGATAGGACTCCTACTTCTCCAAGGACTCCACAAGTATTGGGACTCGTCTCTCACTTATGCACGCATATCTTCTTGGGCATCAACCCTTATCATGTTTAGCAGTCCTCTTCCAACAAATTCGGAACTGGGTAACTTTGAGATAAGGTTACTGTCTTGCAAGACGTACAATCATCAACCTTGAAGAGCTGGTTCTTAGAGCAGTTAAGCAGCTACGTTGAGGATCTGGTTCTTAGAGAACAAACTTTGTTAATCATCAAAATCTCAATACTCAACACGAGGGAATTTGGAAACGGCAGCCACGTTAAATAAAACGAGATAAAAGAACACTAACACTAGCTCCTCTTGCATTTACAGCCGACAGGAATATTATATTGCCCAGAAATTGAACAGTTAATGATCCAATTGCTATTGTATAATTTTACTACTGCTGTGTATGTAACCAATCAACCCGGAACTCGAGATTTTATACACTATTATATTTGACGTATAAGTGATGAAGACTGCATATTTTGTATTTAAGTGAAATTACCGAAACAAAGTACATGAATCAGCTTTCTTGTGAGCATTTTCGGATTATCTAAAGAGTTAGGTTCCAAAAATCATTTCATTTCAGTTACTACAAATGATACAAAGACGCGTAATTGTTTTGGAGACTAGCGCTTGATTATACTGCCTAGTTTAAATTTGTGCTTGTTTCATACTGGAGTGGAGGCTGGTTAATATATTTAAGGGGAGATTGTGAAGCTTAGAATGCTGGTTCAAGTTTGCCTAAATTATTCCTTAACCATACGCTGTGTTCACACCTAATCAAAAAGTTTAATCTCAGCGTTACAAACCAAAGCGAGATTATGTATTGTTAACCATGTTAAGTAATAAATCGGTATATGAAAGACATGTGTATTGCATTCGTTGATTTGCTATAAGCACGTCTGGTTGGGAATAAATATTTATCTATGTTAGAATATCTCATATTTGTTGAGAGAGCAAGATGTTGTTTCCTCATATATATGATGGTCTTGATAATTCTCTCCATAATTTTCAAAGTTGAGTTAGGGCTAAGGTGTATTTTCTTCAAGCTTTCATAAAGCAATATGCGAAGGGTTCATATTTTTAGCTTGAGGAAGTAGTGCATGTGCGGATCCATTCCAGACTTTATCCGTCATCTAAAAATAGGTTAGAACATTTTTTTTCCTTCAAAAAAGGAAAGATATAAAGGAGAAGCAGGAGTAAGGCGTCTTTTGTTTGCACTTAATGGAGGTCTGAATCTTAATCATTCAGATCTCAGACATTAAGTGCGTTTATTTTTAAAGTCTGAGTCTTAATTATTCAGATCTTAATCGTTAAGTGTGTTTGTTTTTTTACTTCACAACCACTTAATGAGTCTGAATTGGTCTGTATCATTAATATCTATAACAGAGACTTAATTTCATTAAGATGCTATCATCCATATTCATTATTAACTGCAGACACCGCCTACCATTATCAACTACCACCATGCCACCCACCACCACCATCATCCTCAATCATAGCCTCCACCATTGTTGACTACCACCATCCACCATCCCCACCACTCCCACCACCATCATTAACGACAACCAACACTCATCCACCTCAACTGCCACAACTAATCATCCCATCACCATCAACGAACATATTTGGCACTGCCCATCATTATAAACTACCACCACCCACCACCATCTTTCTCAATCATAACTACCACTACCACCACCTGCCATTATTAAATATCACCACCACCACCACCATCCTCAATCATAATAGCTATCACTACCAATCACCACTAGCTACTACCCTAAACTACCACCAACCACCGCTTTTAGTCGGCATTCACAAGCACTACCGTTAGCCATCACCACCAGTAACTATCATATTTTGAAAAGCTATATATTTTAGTGATGTAATATTAGATTAATTAGTATTTTATTTGGATTTTATGTTTATTAATTTTTAAATAAACGTAAATTTTATACATTCAGATGTTAAAAATCAAACAGTCTTAATTATTTAGTATTCAGATCTTAATACACATCTTGACATTCATATGTGTATTGAGATTCGGATGTCTTAATCTTATTTTGATATTCAGGCGTGTATTTGGATTCAGACGTCTTAATCTTAAAAAAAATAAATAAATGAGGCCTAAATCTTTCATCTAAGAATTCGCTGTAAAAACTTTTGTTAAAACTGAAAGAGCTAAAAAAATGTTAATGCAAGCAAATGTAATATGCATGAATATATTTTTACTATTTCTTAATTTCTCCCTTTTCCTTCTTGATCCCTCAGTATAATAGAAAATAAAGGAGAAGAGGAATTTTCATAAACCACTATAGCTTAGAGCCTAGTAACTATAATTTGCCTAATTATTATTTGTAACTTCTATTCAATTGTTACTAACTTATATCACTTGTATTCAAACGCGCAACGAATACAATCTGTGTCAATTGTATTTGTTCGTGCAACGAATACAAGATGTATCAATTGTATTCGTTCGCGCAATTGTATTTATCTGTGCATTGAATACAAGATGTATCAACTTTAACCAACACGAAATACAAGGGTGTATACAAAGGATAAAACTTGTATGGACTGTATACAAGGGTGTATACAAAGGATACAACATGTATCGACTGTATTTGTTCACACAACGAATACAACTAAGCAAAATACATAAATACATAAAAATAAAATATTTTTGCTGGGAGTCGAACTCAAAACCTTTCCTAATTAAATGAGCGCTCTAACCAATTGAGCTACGAGAGCTTGTTGCTCCCTTATTTTAGTTCAAAATAATTAATCTCTTACTTCATGGATTTGTTATAAAATTTAAATATAGCTACGAATAGTAAATTTGCTTAAAGTATAGCTATGAATAATAAATACATTGTAAATACATTGTAAAGGAGGCGACTCTGAGCATTTTTCGGTTGTTATGGGGCTACACCAAGGCTCTGCGCTCAGTCCGTTCCTATTCGCCCTGGTGTTGGATGCGTTAACACACCATATTTAAGGGGAGGTGCCATAGTGCATGCTATTCGTCGATGACATAGTTTTGATTGATGAAATGCGAGCCGGTGTTAACGAGAGGCTGGAGGTTTGGAGACAGGATCTTGAGTCTAAGAGTTTCGAGCTGAGCAGGACGAAGACGGAATACCTGGAGTGTAAGTTCAGCACTGAGCCGGGGTAATTGGGCGTGGTTGTGAGGCTTGACTCACAGGTCATCCCAAGTAGAGGCAGCTTCAAGTACCTTGGGCCGGTTATCCGGAGGGGGGAGGGGAGGGAGGAGAATCGACG